CAATATGGTTAATTTGGGTCTAGGTCATTGAGGAATTCGGTCGGTTCCATGTGATACGATGTGAATGTTTGTGCTAGCAAGCAATGCTGCTAAGGTGAAGGTTATGGTCAGTTCACAGTTGCAAGAATCGATAGCCATTTTTTGTTCGGCATGCATCGACTCCGAAGTGGGCTCTGAAAGGCGATCGATTCGGGCATTCATGTCACCAACAACAATCACGATGTCATTGTTCTTCGCCATGCGAAGAAAAGATATGAGCTGTCTATAAAATCGTCTTTGCTACCATCTGAACTGCATTCAGTATGGGCTAGACTGCGCTAATGACAAGACACGGCTTCAGGCGCTGCCTATTGACTCTAATAGAGGTTCGAACTCAAACCGCGTACATGTGGCTGTTCACCGGTATCCAGTCGCATAGATCGTTTTCAGAATGTTTGCTGATGGCGATACCAACAGTGTAAATACCTTGAGTCACTCATTATCGCCAGAGACGCGAAGAGTGCAGTCATCGTCGTCAGATTCAGAACCAGGGAGTCGAAGATTCGTCACAACGCTGTTATCTTTTATGCGTGTTAGGAGAGTGAAGTGTAACTTAGTGCTACCTGCTGACCCATCTGATCTAGAGTACGGACGTCAAAAGAATTAATGTGAACTTGAACTCTAAGTTTGCTGGAAGAGCTTCATGTATCGATAGCAGCAGCTGTGAGGCCAGCGGCAGTCTTTCTGACTATAAGGGGAGAAAAATCGAGAAGAAGAAGACGGGGTGTCGTCGATTTGGTCGAGAGGGCAGATGATACTTCCCGGCTTCACAATCCTAGATAGGGTTTCTGTCCTAGGTGCACTGCAACACGTATGCCAGCCAACACGCATAACTACACTCAACCCCCTCCAGTCTCCACCTGATATCAACGAGCTACGAACAACGAATGCGTGACGTTCGGATCCTGGAGCCCCTGGCTACAAACAACCACTCAGTGCTGATAGCTTATATGTAATCACCTTCGCCGTATTCATGTCTGCTGGAACCAGTTTACAACTACTGAAAAATAGACTTCGACGGTCCAGATCGAGCCGCGAGCCAAGTGGATTAGTCTCTGTCACAAGCTGCATCTGTGGAAGACTGTTGGATATTTATAAAAGAGAGATTGACGTCATTGTGTTCCCAATTTGTGTCGTGAAATATGGGAAGCTTGGATCGATTGAGCCTCATTGGTTTGACAAGGAGTATGGAAATCTGGTTCGGAGGCGGCGCAGACTGTAGGACAGATTTCTCCTCTCTGGCTCTGTCAATGACTACGAAGGGTATACAAGTCAGCGGAACCTCTGCAACAATGCAAAAAGGAATAAACGCCGGCATTTTGAAGAGTGGCTCGTGATTGCCGCGAAGACCGCCTCAAAAAGAATCTACTTACGTGAAACGACGCCTGAAGCCGGCAGGTGATGTGCCAGTGCTGGATGGCCCGCAAGGACATCCCCTAACCTCCAGCACTGAGCGTGCGTCCTCGTTAGCAGCGCACTTCGCTTCTGTATTTGCAACTGACCAGGTGTCTGTTCCGAGTTCGACGTGCACCGCCTTTACCGAACTCGACAGTCTGGATTGCGGCGTTGAAGACGTATGTCAACTACTCGTCAGCCTTGACGGCACCAAACCTGCCGGACCTGATGGGCTCCACCCACTGATTCTCTAGTCACTTTCGGTCATCATCTCTCCTGTCGTGACTGACTGACAGGTCACTCCGAAGGTTTGTTGCCGATTTACTGGTAATGTTCGATGGTGATGCCTATTCCGAAAGGCGACAACCCTAGCAAAGCAGACAATTACAGGCCAATTTGTCTGACACCTATTTTGGCAAAAGTTGCTGAGAAAATCGTAAAAAAGGGATTATTGCAGTTGCTACAGTCAAAAGCGGTCCTGATGTCCGCACAGCATGGTTTTATACAAGGCCGCTCATGCATTACAAACTTGCATGTGACGAGACATGAGTGGTTGAAGACGCTAAGCAAGGGAAAGTCTGTCGACGTGATGTTCATCGATTTCAGTAAAGCGCTCGACAAGGTCAGTCAGGAGCTTCTCCTTCCCAAACTCTGGATGTGCGTTGTCCGTGGCTCACTGCACCGGTGGATCCGCTATTTTCTTGTTGGACGAAAGTGGAGGGTATAGGTCGACGACCATCTAATTGACTGTATCCCTCTACAAGTGAGGTACCTCAAGGCACTGTGCTGGGGCCCACTCTGTTCCTGATCCACATCAACGATCTACCTCAGCTTCTCCGGTCGTCGTGTGCCTTGTTTGCGAACGACATGAGGATTTGGAAAGAAATTGACGCTCCCGACGACTGTGATGTACTTCCGCAAAATCTCAATCGCCTATCCACATGGTCTGCAGAAGTTCTTCTCCCAGCAAACCCAGCCAAGTCTGTATTTATGAGCCGAACCGGTCCTTGACGGCCAACCGCTATATCCCACACCCTCTGAGAAGGACCTAGATGTACTCTCGCGCTACGATTTGAAGTCCGTGGACAACACGAACAGGCTATATCGTAACGGATTGCGCATGCTTTGAGCCCTGAAACACAGCTTTCCACATGGTCTGAAGAGGTTGCTACTCGCCTATTCTCTTCCATCATTAGACCAATGCTAGAGTACGGTTCACCCGCCTACTTTCCGATTACCCGAGGCGAGGCACAAAAGATCGAACGGGTTCAGCATGTTGCTACCAGGCTCATCCCGAGTTTACATGGCTTGCGGTATAAAGACTGGTGCGAAAAACTAGGACTCTACACGTTGTCCTACTGTCGGGTGCGAGTTGACCTCATTATAACCTACCGTACTCCACATCTCGGTGACTTCCCCGTGCTGAGGCTAATGCTGCATTTACGGGGGTCATGCAGCACACGCGCAGACAAACTTGTCGGGCCGGATGTGAAACGTGTTCCCCACCCACTGTGCTTCGAACGGAGAGTGGTAAGTACTTGAAACAGTTTGCCAGAACATGTGATAGAGGCAACATCTGTGCAGCAGTTCAAAACGTTGTTAGATTCATATTTTACCACTATCCGATTCAGAGAACGATTGCACACTTACGATGACATGTCACATTTGTGAGTCCTGCAGTATCGTGAGTCAGATATCGTAAATGTTACATGAGAACGAGAACGATATTCACGGCTGACAATTTTTATAATGTTTTTCGCCATCTTTCGAAAGAGTTGTACAGAAGTCATTTATACTTGCTCTGTAATACAGTATTCAGTATTCTAGCCTTTGACTCAGCAGTCTGACCCACAAAGCAGTGGGATACATGGAGATTCGCTTGCGAAACTCCACCCGGAGCCTTTGGCTCAGGAGCCTGACAGACAAGATAGTGGGGAATGTGATTACAGAGGCCCATTATGATCTGCTTGTGGCCTGTCACACACAGTCTTTGAAGATTTAGAACAGTGCACACGTGTTTTATATTACGCACCTGCGACCACGGCCAGCCGCAGGTGGGAGTTGGCGAGTTTACACCAATTTGCCCATAGGCTGCCTGACTTGAGGTGGGCGGTAGCAAACCATTGAACATCGGAAGGTGCTCTCCCATCGTCAGAGACAATGCTTGGCGCAAGTGCTCTGCGCCAATCTAGCTGTGTTTGTTACCGGTAAATCTGTTGCCTCTCATAGCTAGTGTTTAAAGCAAGAGGATCATCAACCTCCGAAGAGGATTGGATTGTAAGGTTGAGTCAATCCGACCCCTACCCATTGACCTGTCTAATATGAGTGGCTCTGAAGGCACTTTAAGAGTGCCACTCAGTGTAGCTTAATGGGTCTCTGTGGTGCGCAAACCATCATACCTCGCTGAAGTCCAGTCTCGCTACTATGGCTTGACCAGGTTGCTGTACTATATCTATCTTCTAATATTGTTCTTCACTAGTGAGGTTATCTATCACATGATGATTTATCAACTAACCACCGGTACGACTACTTATTGCTGCTGCTAGTTATGATGTGGATAATTCCTGCGTTCTGAGAGGTCGGGCTTCCCAACCTCCTGCAAAGAGGGTGTTGAAACCGAATGTTGGACATCCAACCCCTGACCAGTCTGGTCGGGGTGACCCCGTAAGTGCTCAATCAGTGATTCCAAGCATAACTGATCGCTTCAGCGGGCTGCTCCAACAATCGTTGGGTTTCATCCTAACAAGGTTGTCACTCGCTCTCAGCGCTAGACTTGATAACTACTTTCATGCTCGTTTGTGCTTTTACAATATCCGAATGGATAACGGGAGCTGGGGGTTCAACCCAGAGGCTCTCTTTTCTCCGGTTACGCTTTCATCACTAAACCACCGCGCTCCGTAAACGGCGCGTAGCATAAGGAGTTGGATTTCGTCATCTCATTCTGGAGTGTACACTGCGTTCTTGGACTTGTACATGCATTATCTGCTTGAATCACGGTATACAGACTTGACTTATCGTCCATTGTGTGATTCGCCTCCTTTGGACTTTGTTGCAGTCTAAAAGATGTTCATCTAATTTTCCTTAGCCGCGCTGCCTTCAAACATCCTACACATTTTGAGGCTTTTAGAATGTAAGCTAACTATTTACTGAAGTCGTTATTAGTCTTTTTTCATGAATTACCACTCGGCAATTAATGTGCTTTATGCTACTGTCATTTGAAAGCATATCATCCGCAGCTCTCATCCCCACCGAAGGGTCATCATTGTATCATTTTATTGTGTCTCAACAGTCGGCCTGGCTTACTATCTCTAAAAATTGATGCATTCGGAGAGGCAGTCATTGAGATAGGCATTATTCGAATCGCTGTAGAATTCACAGTCCTCGTCTTACTGTCTGTCCAGCAACGCTTATATCGTTCGATACGGTTCGATGTCACAGTACCATCGGGCTCGTGATCCGTTCACTGGGTCAACGTAAATAGAATAGTCTTACCATTTAGATTTACTAGCTTTTTGTCCCGAAATCAGTCCTTTATCCTCTCTCTTGCTTATATACCCTGGTTTCAGATACTGATCGTCTTGTCTGCCCTATTACAAACGGTATGGTGTGGGGGCCTACTCAAATCCAACTGAATGATGTCCTGCACAAATTTCTACCCGATGGTGTGTTTGTCCTTCGGTTTGAGTTCGATCTCACGGCGAACCACCTAAACACTATTGTGGGTCGCAGCGATCTGGATATCGTCGTTTGCAGCCATCTGATATCCGAACCTTTACAGGTTTGTCATTGGCCTTCGGATGCTGTACAGATTCGTTTCAACGACTACCTTCTCCGTCTGGACCGAAGCACAGTCAGTGGAGGTCAATCGGCCCACAAAGTGGCATGTGTAAAACAGCTCTGTCGACCTGGGCGCAATCAGCTTGAAATAGCCATACTTGGCCTTGGTGAAGACCCGAACCATTTGTCAACCATGAACAAGCGACACTCAATGGCCACTACTCTAGAGGTGAGTGATTTACTCAGTATCATGTTCACCTCAAATCATTCTTCTAGCTATCTCATACTAAGCGAATCAATGGTCATTAGTACTATTTCGAGAATTTTCAGTTTAACCCATTCATGCTCGTTCTTTTTGGCCTTGAATTCAAAGTGGCTCAAATTTCGCTCTGTCACCCAAAGCGATGTGCCGGTTCGCATAGTTTCATTGTTTAATGCTAATGTTAGTCGTGAACGACCGCACCTTTCCCCTAATCTATGCATCCGATTCTGTCCTGCTGCATTTACATCATAGCTGTCGAGCAGAGCTCTGAGATACACAACTTGCGTGTATATATATGTACATCCCATGCTGAGGCTGATGTTGCATTCATGATGCTTCTTCACCGCAGTTGGGCTAAACCAACTCACACTTTAACTAGGTCTTTTTAATGTGGATAAAATTCATTACATTTTATTTGGTTTGTTCTGCGTACTTGATAATCTTCTCCCAACTTGCACACGTCGCTCATGCAAATTGTGGTAAACTTGCGTAATTTTAGCGCATGGTATTTTTTAAACAACTCGGACATTTTGTACTTATCACGGATTCACTTATAACCAATTTCTATATGCTCATCTAGCGACTATTTATGTCATCATATGCGCTTACTTTATTCGATATCGGTATTTTGAGTGCTTGGCTGTTGTTTGACATCCCAGATGTGGCTGCGCTTGATGTGCGTGTTGACAAGGTGCCTACCTGTCTATTACCCACTACCTCGTTCATACTGGCTCTAGGAGACCGTCGTTGCCGGAGGGGACGGGGTGCACGGTCCTTGTGGCCGTGCTAGGCTCGAAGAGCGGTTCCATGCACTCAATGTGAAGCGGACTACGGTCTAGCCACCGCCTTGTATGCGCTTGATTCCCCAAATACAGCGTGCTTGTGTTTGCCTGTGAGGGAGTGTGGGCCGGCTCCGTTGATGAAACGTGGCTCCCATCCGCATGCCTCCCGGTCTTATTCCTTCGCGTTTGCACTGGATATGGGGTGTGTGGATAGAGCTGTGGGTGGTGCAGCGCAAGCCACCTATATATATATATATATATATATATATATATATATATATATATATATATATATATATATATATATATATAATATATATATATATATATATATATATATATATATATATATATATATATATATATATATATATATATATATATATATATATATGGTTGGCGGCATCCGGTTTCGGATTTGCCTGTCACTGTGGCTTGCCACAGTACGCCTGCGCTGACAGAGGGACCATTGGTGGCGTGCGCTGCACCACCCACAGCTCCATCCAAACAACCCATATCCAGTGCAAACGCGAAGGAATAAGACCGGGAGGCATGCGGATGGGAGCCACGTGTGAACATCCTGGGGGGGTGATTTCCACTTATAACCCCCCCACCGACTGCAGTTCTAATACTGTCAAGGACACATTCTATCACGAACTTAACGCGCCACTAAGCACTACTACCAGTTCAGGTATTATAGTACTTGCAGGGGATATGAACGCACAAGTAGGGCGTCTGAGCTCTCCAGAAGTTCAGTTGGGTGGTACTTATGGGTTTAACTCTGAACGGACGGACAACGGCGAGCGTCTGCTGCAATGTGTGCAGAGTATCAGTTGTTTCTTGTAGCACTGTTTTTAGACACAGTGGGCGCCAAATTGCCACTTGGCGTCCTCCTGTAGCTGGCTAGAGATGGATCCAAACTGACCACATAAGTTACAGGTGGCGTGGTTCCATTCTGGATTGCCGCTCATACTGGAGTATCTGTGTCGACTCTGATCATGCCTTGGTACGCTGTCCTTTCTCCGTGAACTTTACCGGGAGGCGCATCAAGCGTCTCTCCCGATTGCCAACTGAGAGGTTGTCTCAGCCCACGGTCAGGGAAGCCTATCAAGATGCATGCATAACGAACTTTTGCTGTCTTATTCTAATGATACTGAGCTTCAATTGTATAGGATCTCGGCCGCCATGCACGACGCAAGAGCATCTGCTTGTGGCATTATTAACCATCACTGCACCAGTCACTGGATATCCGAGAGCTCTTAGAACCAGTTGGAATCTAGAAGAAAGCTCTCGGCTGGGTCTGAGCACAAGTAACCAGATGTGCTATGAGGCGCCAACTAAAGCAGAGCCTGCGTGCTGAGAAGTAAGTCCGGTGGAGCACTCGGGCTCAAGAAATGGAGGAGAGAGGAGCTGTAGGCAATTACCACAAGCTTTTTTAGCTGATCTGCACCACTGGTCCCAAGGAAATCCGGCGCCTGTGAGACAATCAGAGAGAGCGCGGGTGTACTGATACGCAATAAGGAGCGCCGTATGGCTCGTTGGGCGTAACACTTTAAAGATCAGTTCAGCTGGCCCCCTGCTCTCGGACATCCTCCTACTCAGGTGATGCAGAACGAGCCATGGTTGGTTAGTTTAGAGCCTCCGTCGGAGGCCGGGGTCCGAAACGCGATCCCAGTCCTCAACAGTCTTTGTGCCGCTGGCCCGGATTCCCTCCCGCCTGTAATATATAAGAATGTAAGTAAGGTCCTCTGAAAAGCACTGATCGCCCTATTCGAACGTATCCAGAAGGAAAAGATTGTCCCGGGTAATTGGAGCGAATCGAATATAGCAGCAAGATACAAGAAGGGCAGTAGCACAGATTGTTCTAACCACTGGGGTATTAGCATAAAGCCAGTTGTGACAAAACTACTTGCCTCGATTCTCGTTCATCACCTCAATGTAGGACGGGAATCTCGGCGTAGGAAAGATCAAGTAGATCTCCGCCCAGGGCGTGGCTGTATAGACCATATATTTACTTTGCGGCAGGTGCTAGAGCAGCGCCACGCATACCGCAGACCGACAATAGCTGTGTTCCTCGATTTCAAGAGTGCGTTCGATTCAGTCGATCGATCGATTCTGTTCGAATTACTTGCGCGAAAAGGTGTTCCCACGAAATATGTGAACATCCTTCATGCTCTATACTCGAACACTACAGACCGCGTCAGGGTCTATGGTGCCCTATCGGATAGCTTTTCGACTACAAGTGGCGTTCTACAGGGTTATCCGATTTCCCCGTTTTTGTTCAATTTCGTCGTGGATTCTATCATGGAGTGTTCCCTTTCGGAATCTCATGATGTAGGCGTTGAAGTGCTGCCTGGTGACAGGTTAGTTGATCTAGATTATGCGGACGATATCGTCTTGCTTTTCGACAATGTTGAGGCGGTACAATCAACCCTGAATAGCCTGTCCAGAGTGGTCCCATTATTTGGTATGCACTTCGCACCTTCAAAGTGCAAAGTGTTGCTGCAGGACCACCAGCCACTCGATGATCCCTTGACGCTTGCTAACGAGGAACTCGAGGTGGTTGATCAATTCACTTATTTTGGCAGCTGCATCAGCAATGATGGGCGCATAAAAACTGACGTGAGCTCACGCATTGCAAAGGCCAGAGCTGCCTTCTTGAACCTGCGTCATCTTTGGCGACAGAAGGGAGTTTCCCTCCGCCTGGAAGGCCGTGTATACAAGGCCACAGTGAGAGCCGTTCTGCTCTATGGTAGTGAAACTTGGCCCCTTCGGTCTGAAGATCTGAGGCGCCTTCAAGTCTTTGATTATCGTTGTTTGCGAAGCATTGCTGGTGTCGGATGGCACCAGCGTGTCCGCAATGATGATGTGCGTAGGCGAGTACTAGGTGGTGATAATCATGCTAGCTCCCTAGAACAACAGATAGCACTGAATAAGTTGCGTTGGCTCGGGCACGTGCTACGCATTCCTGGTCACCGCTTACCTAGGAGGGCCTTGTTCAGTCTCCCTGGTGTAGGATGGCTCAAGGCTCGAGGTGGACAGAAGTTGACTTGGCAGCGGGAAATGAAGTCACTGACGACCAAACTGGGTGCCGTTGGTCCGTCTCGCCTTCCGGGTTGGAGTCCACGTGACTCACCTTGTGCTTGGCTCGAGACTTTGCAGGACATGGCTCGCAACCGACACCAGTGGCGCGTGTGCTGCCGTCTCCTAATCGGATTGTCTGTTTAAAGTGTGTTTTGTGCTGAGTTATCTGCGGGGTAATGGCTGATTATGACGCGTGGCAGTGAAAGCCGCAAGGAAGCTGTCTCGCCGATGCCGCCTTATCTTTGCACGATAGCCAGCTGTTTGTGACGGTATGTTGTTAACACAAGGTGTAGGCGCCTTGACCCTGAATGTTTGCTTAGGGCATTAAGGTTTTCAGGTAAGACCCCTTCTCTCCCACTTCTTATTCTTTATTTCATAGGTCTGCATGGTTGTATGGTAGCGAAGCATCAGTTCAAATGGCTGATGTGCTGCTGTTGATGATGATGTGACTCACTTTGATCATGTTCTGGTAACGCAACTTCGGTTTCCCCGCATGCCGCTTCCCAACACTCGGCTGACCACTTAACAGCTGCTTCGGTATCCGCATCTTATCGATACGCCACACATGACCGAACCACCTAAAGTGTCTCAGCAAAAACATGCACCATTCAATGCGCAGAATTCGTCGCAAACACTGCTGATGAAACCGCTCGAGATATCGCGCATCTCGCCGGTACGTCGTCCACGTTTCACTGCCGTATAGCAGAAGGGACAGTACCATGGATTTGTAAACCATCCGCTTCGTGCGGACGGTAAGTTGGTGGTTGTTCCACACTCGGTACTCTAGCTTCCCAAATGCCGCCGCTATTTTCGACACGCGGATACTCAGCTCACTGTGTAGCTGGTGGTCAGTCGACGCCACACTCCCAAGGTAGCAGAAGCGGGAGGTGGTTTCTAGTACGTCATCACCAATACTGTTGTTCGAAGCCATTGTGGATTTCACGTCCGGTGAAGGCTGAAAGAGACAGACAGTTTTACTTGTGTTGATGATGTCTCCGAATTTGGCCACTGTCGAAATCGGAGAACTAGTCACGTGCTTCAACTCATCCGCGCTGTGCGCAAACAATGCACAGTCGTCGTCGAACAACAACATACGGCTAGTAGTCACACAGACTGGTTCTCGCATCGGAACGGTGGATGTTCAGCAACCCGCCATCAATACGGTGCTCCACCCGAACACCGTAAGTACAAGCGGCATCAGAAGCACAACACGTCATGCCATGAAGATAAATATTAACCAGGGCAGGAGCTAACACACAGCCTTGCTTCACACCAGAGATAACTACAAAGTCATTAGAGGTCTCTCCACTCAGTTGCACCCTCGCTCGCATACCACTGTGCAGACATTCATTTAAACTTATAAACTTACCCAACACCAGCCACAATGCCTCGCGGTTCACCGTATCAAATGCCTTGGTGGAATCAACAAGAAGCGAGTACAACGGCTGGTGTCGTTCTCTGCACTTCTCCTGCAACTGACGAGACACAGACACTGTATCGATGGTGCTACGACGCGAACGGAATCCACACTGCTCTTCCGCCAGGTTAGGTTCCACAACCTGACTGACGAGACGGTTGAGCAGGATTCGAGCAATCACCTTGCTCACACAACTCAGCAAGTTGATGCCACAATAATTCGCTCAACATTACTTGCTCCCTTTGCCCTTGTACAGTGGTAGCACAAGGACATCCTTCAGCTCAGGAGGCACCTCCTCCTTAATCCACACGCGCTGCACCACTTGGTGCAGCGCAGTCACCAACGCGGGTCCGCCGTGTTTAAATACTCCAAGCAGAATCCCGTCAGCACCGGCATACCTGCGGTATCATAGCTGAGCAAGTGCTGTCTGCGTCTAATCCAGTGTCGGCGTGTCTGCCAGACTCGTCTTCACATCGTACTGCTTAAGGCCGTTCAATGTAGGCCAGTCGATCTCTGAACGGTTGTTCGAGAGACCGTCAGTGTGTTTTTGCCAGAGCTGCGTTATGTCTGCACTCTGTGTGTCCTAAGTGGCCTTAACCTCTGTCCATACATCTTCAAAGGGTCAAATAATTCCTTATGTTGGCGGCGTTCGGCGTAGCATTCCATCTGCTTTGCCTTCTCCGTTCACCATGCGTTTTTAATGCGACGGAGCTCCAGGGTCAGTTGCTTTCGAAGTTTGCGAAACTGACTACTCTTCCCCAAGTCACTGGAGCCTGCCACATATACAGCAAATGCTCCATTTTTCTCCGACACCAATGCGCCAATCATGGCATTGTTCCCATCAAACCAATCAGGCCGCTTACAGTTTGCGCCTGATGGTCTCTCCGACAGCATCTGTCACCTGGCCGCGAATTTGGTGCCACAGGTCGCCCACTGTAGCTATACATTCCACATCACACAGGCGTGCAGCCATCGCCTTCTCCAGCTCAATACGTTTCACCACAGTACCGAGGGAGAGAATGTTAAATTTACGCCGATTCACGGCGGGAGTGCAAAACATAGGTTTACGAAAATAGATGTACAATTTGGTCCGCACCAATTTGTGATCAGTGCCACACTCAGCTCCACGCAGTATACGTGTCATGCGTACTTCAGATATATGACGCCGACATACGATGACATAGTCGAGCAGTTGAGCGTGACCACTCCGTGTGTACGTCCAAGTTGCTATATCACTCCCACTCAGTGCAAACCGTGTGTTCGTGGTCGCCATGCCATGAGTGGCACACAGTGAGAGCAACCTGTCATCGTTCGCATTCGCTGAACCAATGCCATGCAAACCGATTACATCTGTCCGCACCGATGCATCACGCCCAACGCACGCGTTGAAATCACCCAGGCGAAATAGTCGGGCACTCCTGGGCACAGACCGTATCACGGAGGATAGCTGAGTGTAGGACTGATCACGCTTGTCATCAGGATAACGCATGGTCGGACCGTACGTGCTTACAAAAGTGGCAAACGTACCTCTTCCGCGGCTTGCTACTGGTTTGCTACTACCCGCCTCAAGCCAAGCATTAGCAAACCATTGAACACCTGGAGGTGCCCTCCCGCCGTCAGAGACAATACATGGCACTCGTGCTCTACGCCAGTGGAGCTGTGAGCTAGTAACCCGTGGACCTGTTATCTCCCATGGCTAGGTTTTACGAGAAGACGGCCATCGACCACTTCCTAACCTCCGAAGAGGATGGGCTAGGATACTGGCAGGGCGCCCACATCTGACAAGGGAACGACTCGGGTCCTCAGCCATAGCATTCGATTAAATGAACACCCGAAAGGCAACGGGTCTAGCACATGGTCAATTCACTGACTCATGTAGATCGGTGTCCTGGATCTTAGCAGGGAGAAGGGCGTAATCCAACTCCCACCCAGCGGTCGTCACGAGGAGGCGTCCAGGACATGAGCCAATGGCCCAACAGTAGCAACAGTGGGTAGACCATCTGTCAGGATCTAACCATCACCCACCTCAGCGTACCATTGGCTCCCCCGCCAATATATATATATATATATATATATATATATATATATATATATATATATATATATATATATATTCACAGCATTCCTATCTACTCTGATCGTAAACTAACGATATCGGGTTTTTCCCATAGGATATGTTTGGCAATGTTATTGTTACACAACTGTTTACTATGTGAGGCAGCAACCTTTTCCCTACTTTGTGGTCGCCCAAAAATATCTTGCTCACCAATTATGAGTCTTCCATGCTCCTGTCAACATTTGGAGTTGTGCACAGCATCAGCACATCTCAGGGACTTGTTGACGCTAGTGGGGGGCTTTTCTACCATGACTTACAAGCTTCCTCCTTCGCTTATCTCAAACTTCTGCCTGGTTCTAATTATGAGCACCTCTTTCCTGTATATTTTATTCCCAGGCGCACCGCTTCGCCGCCTTCATGGCTCATATGCCAGCCTTGAATGTGCTACTGGATGGACTCAAACGGCGGAGACCTGCAGGAGTCAGCGTTCTTTGCGACATCCTGGAAGGCCGCATCGCATCTCGCGTTGCACCCGATGCGCAAAATTCACAACCACGTAATACCCCTGTAGTAGCAGAACTCAACCTTGTCTGCCCTGTTTTTCGCACACGTATGAACGTACCTGGCCGTATTACCGGATGTGAACACGTTGAGGCGTTTGATATGGAGGCCTTCCTTCGAAGAGAGGTGTTGTGGCCCAGGCTTAATTGTCCCATTTGTGGGTAAGTTTTTCCCTTTATCCACTGTACTTTTAGTTACGTCCTCTTCATCGTCGCTTCTGTTTCGGTTAAACTTTACGGCACGAAATTAGTAGTCGTTCTAGCTTCTCTTCTGGGAAGCTTTCACTGCAGACCTCGTCGCGACTTGCGCATTCCGAAGAAGAATTTACCATTCTCACACTTAGTTCCAACTGGTTGTCATGCTCCCAGCGGACATCGGCAACACGTGCACCTGTTGAACTCGCTGACCATTTGTGTCATGAACCTGTTTTTCACTGTCAACGCGACGTCGGTTATATGCACTGTTCGCCGCGAGTTTATGATGGTCTTGAGCTCTTTGAGGAGTTTTGACCCTTTTTCTTCTGTCCTTTAACGCAATCGAATCGGTAAATGAACCTACTTGCTATACCATTCGTGCAGATTTCAGTGATTGTTGGGGCTAAGATTGCGACTGATTGGTTTGAAGCTCGTTTCCATGCAACCCACTGATTTGTTCACATAGTTTGCTGGAATTTATTAACATTTGGTTGACCTAATAGGAGTCTCTTTTGGAATCAGTCGACCGCTATCCTGTTCAATGGGAACGTAGAACAGAAATTAAGGTGCTGTCGGTTATCACCGTAAACCATCATGCGTCCGACAGGTACCATTTCGCTGCCATTGTATGCTTAGTGCAGAGTAGTTGATCGTCTTGAAACTTTTTGTGAACCTCTACAGCGAGCCTTTGACTCCAAGCGAGTTTCATATAACTTCGCTACCAGCCGTATCAGTCTTGAGTACCGGACGATTCCGGAAACTGATCAATCAATGCGTGGCGATCGTTTGCAACACATTAGTTACTAAGTCTATTTCATCGTATCTTAACAACCTGGGGCCTTTTTTGAGTCCCATTTGTGCAGCCTATAACTGATGCCGCTCGTCTCAGCTATGGGTGCTGCCTAGTACTTGGTTAACTTCACCGCCAATATCCCCAGCGTAGCGGTCGACGTTATTGCTCTGCTCGGAGTACATTGGCTCAACTGTAGGCGAAATAAATTTATCAGATCTACCGATCAGATTTGAAACGTATCTGACCATCTCTGTGAAACTGAACCTCCTTACCTCCGCAATCCGTTTGGCTGCTTTTTGATATTTCCAAATGAACGTCGGAGTTGCTCTCGAACAGGCCACTGCCCTATTAGCACTTGTCCAGATTCTCTCCAGGTTTGTCTCAAAATCGCACTATAGGGAATTGGACAGAAAAAAATACGTCGCCGTCTATAGCGCCTCGATGTTGCTCCTCCCAACACTGACACCCCATACGTTTCTGTCTGTTATTTGTGGGGCCAGACAGAACACATCAAGCGTCTGCCAATGAAGACGCAACATAAATGTACTCCATATGTGCTCCCTTCTTCTCTAGTGTGGTGGTCGTCACATTTTCCACAAGGCTCAGTAGTTGAAAAGCTGAGCGTATTTCTTTTTTCAATTTAGTACACTTCTACGGCTGGGCTACCAGAGAAGTTAGCATATTTGACCAGTCCAACTTTAACATCTTTTTCTTTCACGCGTCTGTTTTGCCTCGGTCAGTTTCATTGCCTTTCTGCCTGTACATCCGGACTCACCATTTAGTTGCCTTTATGGCGCATCTGTTCGCCTCGAATGTGCTGCTTGTTTGACTCAGGCGTCAAGAACACGCTGGGGTCAGCGTTCTTTGTTGCATCCTGTCAGGTTGCACCGGATGATGTTCTCCCACGCGAGGTGGGAATACACGAACTATAAGCGAATCTCGATTGTTCACGCGCAATTACTTATTGACTTGTCTGTGACCGTTTATGACCACATCTTGCATCCACTGGTTTGAAGCCAGATGGCCCTTCGTCAGTGTGGTGCAACTCTGCAAAAACTCGGCGACGGTGGACCGCGGTCGCAGGTGCATTACCTGATACAGTTTTTAATCACAGTCTCCGTTTTGAATCTCCCAAAGCTGTGTGCATCCAGACTGCCATATATACCGCTGGCATTCTGCCGTCACAGTTTTGAGTTGGATTTGCTCCGTCGCTATTTTGTCGCTCATTCCATTTCTTCATGCTCTTCGTGTGCAGACTTCAAAAATAGGATATGTTTATCACGCTATTTTGTGGTTTGCTTACTTCTAGAGTCGCAGGCGTGTCTCTTCGGACAGACCTGTTGTCACTGGTTTGCCCTTTCTGTCTACTCTTTTGTTTAATTAAAGATCACTTGACCGGTTTATCTGACGTGTTTGTTTGGATTGCTTTCCCTCGTTTCTGCGTCTCGAGATGATTGAGTGACTACACTCCAATAGAGTTGTATGTAATTGCTTGATTTCCATTCAGCAAATGTAATCGGTGTCCCTTTGTTCGACTGCCTGAGTGGTATTTGAGCTCTCTCATTCTGGGCTCACAAGTGCCTTTCAGTCAGTCAGTTACATTGCATAAGCACCCATTTGCCCGTGTTACTTTCGGGCTTCGACTTACAGGTGTTTCTGTTCCAGCGTCACCTGATCCTCGTTCAACATGTGATCTGACTAGCTCTCTACATCGTTTACCAATCATAGATTGAAGTGCTGCATAACACAGTCTACACGTGTTTGAAACTGACATGGCGTACTTTTCGTCTTCCCTTCATTCTTGATTTTATAGTAGCTTTTCATCGCTTTCTTGTCACAACGTATACAGCGAAATGTTGCTATAACGAACGCCGTATGACGAAATTTATAGAATATCAACTTCTATAAAATTCCTCTTTTTCCTGTTTAATGTTTTAAAACGTTTCAATATTAACTCAATTTTTTCAAACAATAACATAGCCCGGAACATTACCCGCACAATGTAACATTTTTTACTGAAAATTACAGAAAACCTGTAATTACTGCCATAACAATACTTCGTGTACTGGTTGGTTTCAGTACAATGAACTTAATTTCTGAGGTCCCCGAAATTTTGTCATACTGGTATTTCACTGTATTTGCCTCCTGCAAGACCACGCCGACGTCCCCAGTCTTTTTATTTCTTTGCGAATGTCGTCTACGCATTATTCGTGACCCGGAGAACAGCTGTTTGCTTTTAACGGATTCCTCCTCGTTTGCTCCACTCTCACTGTTTTCATTGCTCTACCTTCAGGCACAAAAGTCCAGCTGGATTGGATGGTTTGTGCATCGACACCACCATAACGAATGCCTTGCGTTTAGTACATCCCGCCATCGAAAGCATCTTGGTTCGATCAGATGGCTTTTGGCGGTTACCACCTCCAATATGCCTGGACTTACCCCTGGATGTTGACCAGTGGCAGCCTCTGATCGGGCCATTGACGGAGATCGTCACAAATGCGCTGAGTTCGGGCGCCATTATTCGAAGTTGTGGACAGCGGCTGTCACTTTCGGCCCCTTCGACCAACCAAACCGCTTCTGATTGGGTCGTTGCAGGCGTTTTTAGAGGCCACCGCCAACCAGTTGCGCCTTCAGGTAGCCAAGTCAAAACAACCTCATCTAACGATCCTCCTGTCACCACTGGAAAGGAGGACTCTTCGCCGTGGGTCACGGACGCTCCTACTTCACCCCCTGTTCCCGACAATGGCATGTACTCTCTATCAGATTCTTCCCAATCCGACGGTATATCTGGATCCAAGGCACTCAGGGGACTTCGACCGGCGTCTCAGCCAAGTAAGTCCGTTGATTTTGACTGTGATATGGTCCTCTGCAGTGTAGACGCTAGTCGAACTCCATTATCTGGGGTAGTTTGCTTGATTCTTCATTTATGTCGCTGCTCGCACGACTGAGCAAACTGACTGCGTCTCTCAACCGTTGTATGGGTTATGCGGGGAATCTATGCTAGCAGTCATTACCTTCATTTTCATAACTGGTTAAAACCAGCTTAGTGGATTGTTTGTAATAATATATCTTAATGATAAAGGAGTATAATTCCTTGTTTGGAATAGGTGAATTGGTGGTTTCAACTTTTTATCAACTTATTTTGATATAGGTGCCTTTGAATGGGTCTAGCAGTCTTGAGTATGTAACTGTCAGCATGAAATTACCATCCCACTCGCGAGCACTAGCATTTTCAATCTTCGTTTTTGGTTTTACTGTGGCACCTGTCGCTGTGGTTTCAAAGGTCCACCGTGTCGTGTACTACTGCCAGGGTCGTCATCGATGCTCGGTCGAGGGCAATTAACCTTCGCCTTTAGCTAGGCCAACGCGTTCCTGCAGCCCGTTCACTTCTCGCACGTTCTGCTATGCGCCTTCGCTCCCGCTTATTTGCATAGACTTCATATGTGGTCGCCTTCGCGTTCGTGCGTTGATGTGGTCACACGTGCGTGTATGTTTGTTCGTATGTGCGCACGTTCATCACCGCTCATTTGTCCAACTAGCCCGCTAGCCACTCTGTTCTCCATTAGGTCGATCGCTTGTGACGGCAGTCAATGCGTTCATAGGCAATCGATGCCTTCAGGCTACAAGGTTTGCTACGGCTGGTCATTATGATCGGCTGCCTTAGGATATCAGCGCCAGTAGTACTGATGCCATATGTATATGCATATATATATATATATATATATATATATATATATATATATATATATATATATATATATATGCCCCATGCTGAGGCTGATGTTGCATTCTTGATGCTTCTTCATCGCAGTTGGGCTAAACCAACTTACACTTAGACTAGGTCTTCTTAAGCTGGATAAATTTCATTCCATTTCATTTCATTTGTTCTGTCTATCTGAATAATCTTCTATTAACTGGCCACGTTGCTTACACTAATTGCGCTTATCTTCGGTAATTTTGTTGTGTTTGTAGCATTTTTAGGTAACTTGTGGACATTTTCCTTATCGCGGATCCATTGCTAACCAACTTACTTCATATGCTAATTTAGCGAAGAATTGCGCCACCTTATCTGTATGCATTATTGGATTTATTTTATTTCATCTTGTCGTTTCAATTGATTGGTTGTTGCTTGATATCCCCGGTGTGGCTGCGCTTGATGTGCATGTTGACAAGGTGCCTACCTGTCTATTACCCACTACCTCGTCCATACTGGCTCCAGGAGACAGTTGGTTGCTGCTGGAGGGGACGGAGTGCACTTTCCTTGTGGCCGTGCTAGGCTCGAAGGCCGGTTCCATACACTCAGTGTGGAGCGGACTACGGTCCAGCCACCGCCTTGTGTGCGCTTGATTCCCCAAATACAGTGCTTGTGTTTGCCTGTGAGGGAGTGTGGGCCGGCTCCGTTGATGAAACGTGGCTCCCATCCACATGCCTCCCGGTCTTATTCCTTCGGGTTTACACTAGATATGGGTTGTTTGGATGGAGCTGTGGGTGGTGCAGCGCACACCACCAATGGTCCCTCTGTCGGCGCAGGCGTACTGTAGCTGGCCACAGTGACAGGCAAATCCGAAACCGGATGCCGCCACCCATTATACAAATATATATATATGTATATATATATATATATATAGTATTGTATTGATCCCCCACCTATGTGAACTTAATATCATCTAGCGGTGTTTTTTACCGTGGACATTTGCTCCGGTGGTATCACCGGTTTTAATACTCTCTATTGATGAATCCTTACTTGATAGGTTTCACTGTGGTTGATGACTACTAACAACACAGTGTGGAGCAACGAGAAATCGTTCTTGCAAACCACCGGTCATGTCTCTTTCTGCTTGGTTGCATTCGTTGAAACTGGAGTTGGGTGTTAACCTTCTCATCCCATGGGTTTTACGCTATGTTGAATTATCATGCGAGTGAAGACTTTCTGCTACTACCTGTAGCTGTTCTGACAGCACTCTGGGAGCTGCCGACATTGTTACACGCCCGGGTGCTGCGCCCATTTCGGTCATAGCTTCTACAGCTAATATTTCTGAAAACTACATGCTTTAAACATTTAATCCACTCCTATTTCTTCTTTCAGCTGAATGGCCTGGTTCCCAAGTTTCGTCGGACATCGTTCCATCCTCACGAAACACGAAGCCAGCGGCAGTTCGAAGGAGTATCCACTCCCTCCTACCAGATTCCCAAATCACCGAACAGACGTCGTCTTCCAAAGAGAATTTGCATGCCGGTTACCTCAATCACGAACCCTCCCCACTTTCAACCGATCTGTCAGATGCAACTCGTAACGTCGGACAAACAGATGGCTATTCCAGTCAGTTGATGCCATGTTTCTCGGACCGATCAACAATGGTTACTCGATCGTCCTACACAGGATGGTCTGACCCCACCACTTGCGCCACATCGGCCGACTCCCCCAGGTGCTTCGGAAGCGCGTTGCTACCTTGCAGTAGCTCCTCGCTACCCACTTCCCCATCGTTTGGACCTCGATCCACTTCCATTAGCCTTGCAACTCCAGCCGCATCAGGAATCAGTGCGAACGCGACCGAGCGTGTGTTGTTTTCCAACATAAATTGTGAACTACCATCCGTTGTCGTACACTCGGATAGTGCTATAAGATATGAGTACAGCGTGGCCGCTACACCAAAAGACGTCTCCGGTCTTGGTGGACACAGTCCTTCATCCAATTTATCTTCAACTACAGTCTCAACGACGTCGTCTGCGGGATTTCGCTTTTCGTCGGAGGAAAAAAAGACTGGCAGTGTTTCTTGGAACGGTGATGGCTCGTGTTGCCAGAAGATGCCCGCTTCTGATGTCACCATTGACACCGTCAGCACATCAACTGCACAGCCCTCTGAGTATGTTTATAACAAAAAGCAGACATCGTCCTTAAATATGGGTTTAGATTTTTTGCTTGCGGAAGAACAGTCCATGACCGATCACATATCGGTTCGTAACTTTCATGAACATAACTCATCTCCTCAAACGGGTGCCATCAAAACGTCAGTTGGTGGTCAGCTTCCCTCTACCGCCTCAGCTGCTCTCGCAAATGGCACTCCCCATGCCATAGATTCCAGGCCTCTGAAGCGTGGTTTCAGAAATTCACTTTATAGCGGTGACTCCGCGTCCAACCAGACGGTCGCCACTGGCTATGGTAATGGTTGCGAGAGCACCATGCAAGTCGGCCGAGATCTGGAAACCCGCCTCGTTGAAAGTGCTTCCTCTGCCTCCCCGTCTAGCACAGACACCAAGCGTATCAAGATTGATCCTGATTATCCGCCACCAGTTTCTTCCCATGAGACCAAAAGTGACGATACTTGTGTGTCATCAAATTCCGCGCTAGATGAGGGCCTTGATCACTCCAAACTCAAAATCGAAGCGAAGTCTTGGAGCGATGAGAATTACACTTTTTGGACATCCTCATCCTCCCCCCATTCCCATAGCCCATCCTTTTGCAGCAGTGGTGTCAGAGACGCCGACGGTAGACAAGATTCGGCCTTCCACAGCGACCCTTGTGCACATAATTCTTTCTCCTTGTTTTCCACTCCCTGGGATGAACAACATCTGTGCATCGATTCGATTCATTCCTTGTCAGCTCAGATTGACCGAATAGAGATCTTTCTCGATGAATCATACATTCGCTTTGTGCAAAGCTTTGCATGTACCTAATATTTATTAATGCAACTTTAATCTGATCTATGCAGTACGACGTATTTGTTAGGTCATTATGTTCTTCTGATGCCCATATTCTATGGAATATTTTTATCTCTTGAAAAATTTGAACTTTTTTACGGGCATCTCGTGTGCAAGAACCTCTCTCCACTTAACTTATGTAAATGCCCACTATGAGTACTGGTCGATATTTTCCCTGTGTACAAATTTTTTCTCACATTACTTTCAATCGACTTCAGCACTTGAAATCTTTTACACGCTTTATTTTTGCCTATTCTGATGATCTTGGGCTGAGGCACGTTTTCACTACTCTCTCTTCTTTAGGTATCCACTGTTGCTAACGATATCCGCGTTATTAGTAGTTCCCGTTTGCATCAGCTGCATATTGTTAAACCGGGAGTGTAGGCGGAATTCAGCAACACATGATCGTTTTGTATCTCAACTGGCAGACTCATGATCAATGCGTCTGGGACAGGTCTCGTTCGCTTACCACACTCGATGAGTTTTCTTCCAATTGGTGACAATCGACCCAGTTATCCTTCACTCGATCCCACGGCCAATTACATAGCGAAAAGTCTGCTGATTCCCATTTTCTGCCTTCTTTGTCCGATGTGGCGTTGTGCTGCTTTCTCAGGTCGAAAGCAAACATCCGATGCGACTGGGTGGTATGCGTTCATTGCGCGCTATTTACGAGTTTGCTCTTTAGTGTCGTGTTTATAGCATATTTTTCTTCAACCTCTGTAAGGTACTTGTTGTTGTTCCCACCTGCATTGCGCTTCAAGCTGCGTTCTGTTTAGTGCGTTGGGCCCAGTTTCGTTAGTAGGACAAATTGCTTACCGATTTGAGTGGTTTCATTCCCAAACACATCACTTACCCATACCTTTGGCCAATTGGGATTGGTTTTTCGAGATCAGTCCTCAACTTGATGCAATGGTCAACCGACTTCTGTGTTCTACCTCCCAGTTTATCGCCTTACTGGCCAACCAACACCGTCACTGTGTTAGTCTGCGATTGCTCCCTTTTCCCCACTGAGATTACCTTAGCTTGCTAAAATGCAATAAGATAAAAGACAATTTGGCGCCTGAACGGTGGTTTATTCACACCCGTATACAACTATCTCACGCTTGACCATTGGCTACCCTGATTAGCTAATGGCTTGTGTGCATCACTTGTGGTATACTTTTGGTTTTTGGATATATTACTTGTCAATCTGGCCTCTTCGGCTTCGTTATCTTGGCACCTCCCCGTTGAGTTGCGTTCTTAAGGTTGAAGCTACCAACTTCTCTTCTGGTCACAGACTGTGCGCCTCTGTTTGGTGGAGTTTATTTATCTCTATAGTCCAGATCCTTTAGTTGTGCTTCAAAGGGGTCTGATACCTATTCCTGGATACTTCTGTTCCTCGACGTCCCCGGCTTGCAGTGCGTCTTTCTCAACCGGTTTGCATATCAGATCCAATTAACGTAATCACTTGATGCATCGCGACTGACATCGAATTGGCGACATCCTTTACTATATATAGATATATAGGGAGAGAGACATCCGAAATCATGAAAATTAAACGGAATAGAAATATCGGAAAAGAACTACTTATTCTCTTTTACACGTCCTTGTTTTTGTCACTTTAAAGCATTTACTACTTTGGTACTCGCGAGTTAACGCAGATTTGCGATTATTGTTTCCACTGCAACCGGTTTTGTGCCATTGTTTCGAGTGTTGGAAGCCACCAGCATACTACATCTTTCGGTCTCCAATCGGGAAGGTGCACCGGACCAGCAGTTGATAGACAAGATGTCAGCGATGTGATGCTCTGTCGCCAGGTGGTCGGCTGGCTACTACGCGATTTCTTCCCATGCGGCCCTGCATGCACAAATAGGGCGCGGCGTATCAATCACTCGCCAGACATGCGCAGGACGTGGTGCAATCGAACAAGCTCATAGAGTGGGAGATCCGCCTTCCCAAAGACGCTTTGTCTGATATCTTGATTGCGCACCCGATGTTGCGACCACACACGGGCGATCCTCCGCAGACAATTGTTGTCGTAGACGGAAAGCCTGCAAAGCACATGCAAATGTTCACACAAACTGGTACGTGATCAGAAGCAAGGTAAGTAGACAAAAATGATCTGCGATCCTGTATGCTACTTCGCCACCTGAAACTGTTTGTAATGTGATCTATTTGAGACCAGGCCTGCATTGGTGAAGGAGGACGCCAGGTGACAGACCGCCTCCTCGAGTGTCTGAAGTTGGTGTTTGCGAGAGATAAACCATTGTCCTCACACAAGGTGAGAAGCCTGGTTCCGTTATCGGAGCGATTCTCCTGCATTGCGTGATGACCACCTAGGTGATATTCATCTGACAGCAGGCGACCGACACGTACACTGAAGTCTCCGTCGCGAACAACGACATCCCATTTGGCGGCTTTGCGCAAAAACCGATGAAACTGGCAATAAAAATCGTCCTCTATCGAATCAAAGCTACAAGCGGTTGGCGCATAGGCGGAGATCACGAACAGGTGGCGACATTCAGCGCCATGCCTGTGAACCCTGCATGAACCTTTAAGCCGAACTGCACATAATCGGCTGTTGACTGGGAGTCACCCCAGAAATGCGGCCTCAGCTTTTCTGCTTAACGCCATATCAACGCCTCCAAAACCAGCTGCAGCCGTTTCTGCGTCGCCAGAAAGACAGGTGGTATGTGGCTCCTTGGTTCGTCGGATAAGTCAACTTGTGCACAGTGCTCGGGTCTTGCAACCTAGTTTCGTAAAGATAGCGTATCTCAAAAACGAGCGAGTTCAAAGTTCGGTGTGGCTCACTTCCATCCCTGCACTCCACGACCGACGGTTTCGTCCTAGTTTGGACTCGTCAGGTAGAGATAGTCGAGCTGGGAGTAGAACTCGGCGCATAGTGGTTGGCCTAGTGATCATGGCGGTGACTGTCCCAGTCACTGTATTAACAGAGGCTGACTTCTAAGTTAACCGAAGCCACGATCGAGGTTGTGTGTCGCAATCCAAAACCCAGGAAATCAACTTCTAACCGCTGTGTCAAGCACCGCTCGCGGAGCTCAATGGCCCGGTGATTATGGTGATGGCCGTTGAGCACTTTGCGCCGATTTTCTCTCCCAACTTGGCGAGTCACATCCACTACGTTGCACTGTTGTTAAATGGACATTTGTGGCTTTTTTCTAGGAAGATTGCTTGCCAATCAAAAACCAGCTACGTTCTGGAACACTGTTACGCTAATACTTCGTGATCGCATCTCGCTCTTTGTGGCTCTGTGTTTAGTGCTATAACGCGCAGCTCAACATGGCTTTATTTATTGTTTGCGTTACCTTGACATGGTCTGATATCGTCAAAGAGTGTACGGGTTTTGCATTTGAGGATAGCCTTATCGATGCTGCCTTAATTTGGTACACTCAAATTTGTCCAAGACGACCACTCAAGAGACCGACAAAATGTGGTCGCCTTGGACAGCTTCATGCTTATGGATATTACTCAAAGGAGAAAACGTTGGGGATGTTTTTGTCTGATCCCCATAATCAGATAGTCATCAAAGCAGATTGGACTGTATATGTAGTTTTGAGCGTCATCCCGTAGGTAAGAATGAAAGCCTCAATCATTTCTAGTGTCTGCCTCGCTTTTTGACTTTTGCAGGGCCTGTTTACGTGTGTCTAGAAGCTACCCTGTTTATCCATTTTTCTGTGGATGACATGGGGGCATTCTTGTACAGTGCCAGTCAAGCTTCTAACAGAAGTCGATGCATTCGGTCGCATCATTTGACACTGTGGTCTCAAATGCGCCAAACTGCTCTTATATACAAGTTCTCTGCCGTGTTTTCGTTTACCGAGTTATCGATCATAATCAGCGAGTCCTGATCTTTAATGGATCAACCAGACTCCATGCGACATTGACTCATTGCTCTTTTGATGCGGTTCCAAACCTGGGTTTGTCATCGCGTGGTGCTTTTAATGACAAAACGCAATTGCCACTCCATCTGCTGCGCTTCGCCATTCGGGAATTCCGATGTTGCTAGTTAGCACAAATACGTACTTCATTTAATCTATTTTTGCTTGAAATTCGTCTATTGCCAGCCGCTAAAGCGTATGGGGAGATCGCGATGCGATGAGAGCCACCGACTAGTGAGGGTAAGTAGTGACATTGAATTCGTGGGAAGTCTCCTTCTGGGGGCCGTTTCTGGCATTGAGCGCACACTATTTGGTACAGCAGGTGGGTGCAGTTCGTGCGTATTCCACAGCGACCGGCATAGTTCAATTCGTGGCTTAACATCTGAACATCACTGTCTAGTGGATGCAATTGCCATCATTCGCTTAGCTATGATACTGATAGCTCACAGTATTGAGAAGCGCGCCGAGCTTGGCGAACTATCTAACTAGTGAACAGCCAAAGCAGTCTGGTAGCATTTGAAGTTATTTCAAATGTGGAATATTCATAGTAGGGTGAGACGAAAAGGAGTATACGAAAAAGCGGTTGCTAAACTGATCGGGTCGGGAACTTTCCGGTTGAGCGCACAAGACCAGATTGGGAATTGCCATTGACTGCTAGGTTGTACCAT